ATATATATATATATATATATATATATATATATATATATATATATATATACACATACACGCATAAATATACGTTTCACGTACGATTATGTGTATGCTGCGCGCAGAATACTGACAAACATTTCTCTCAAAATATATTGAACACAAAGCAGTCTAGACTTTTTATGAAAAGTCAAGTAAGTAAAAAGCGGAAGTTCCCGAATCGTTAGTGGACTTATCCGAATGGCAAGGCCTCTAGCGATCGTCAGCTGCTATACACTCTACATTTCTTTGGCTTGTACAACGAGTGGTAAACCGCGGATGACAAGATGCAGAGCACCGTGCAGACGCAAATCGTATAGACCACGTAAGTATACCAGAAACCATCCCAGTTGGCGTGGATAAACCACGTCAACGTCAGCGTTATATTCTGTATGATCACGAACACGTAATACGGCATCGTCCACTTGTCGGCGTACTTAAACTTGACTCTGTACTCGATCAGACTGAATATATAGACCAGACCGAGCCAGAGATTCACGAAGAACGTGATCACGTCGTAGTACTTGGCGTAGTAGAAGAGGTAGATCAACATGACGACGTAGTGTACCGTCAAGGTCGCTATCACGTACGCCGAATAGAACTCGTAGGCTACGACGATGGCCAACACGCGCGCTAGGATGAAGAAGAACCACCAAAGGAACGATAGACATTTGCCCACCGGGTCGTCTTCCTCGAGACCCTTTTCGGAGTACTTGCGTGTGGGCACTTTCAGACTTTGTGGATTATCCGTTATGGGTTGCTGCTGATTGCCCTCGGTGTTCGCCTCTTGTTGTGATTCCGTGTAGACTGAGTCGGGTCGTGGAGGTGCGGGCAGGTCTGGTATTGGCAGCGGCGCGACTGTCGTGATGCCGCGAAGCGGCGTCGGCGGCGGAGTGACGTGTGCGTTCTTCGGCGGTAACGGCGGCGTCACGGAAATTTGACGGTTTAGGGGACCACGTGATTCATTTTGCGGCGACGGCGGCTGCTGCTGTTGTGGCAAGACTACGGCTGTTTCCGGCTTCGCTTCGTTGTCTTCCGGTTGTACAGATTCGGACGATGCGTTCGTTTTGCTTTCCTGGTCTTTCACGGGTAACGTGGTCTGTAACGGTGCCCTTTCCTCGATGTTCTCCAGTTCCTGGTAATTGAAACATAATTTATATGAAGGCCATATGATAAAATAATCATATATTATTAAATAATCACTTATACGCATATTTTCATATATTAATTATTATTATATATTATATTATTATATATTATTATGTATTATTTTTGTAACGACTACACTTGAGAGGTGTGTACCTCGACGCAGTATTTTTTCAGCCACATTGCCCATGGTAGTTTCCTGCCATTTAAACGTTGGCTTTCAAATCTTTGGAAAGAGGTTGTCTGCATAGCCATTATTACGACAGACATGAGGATGCAGAGCACCTGTACTGTCACTACAAAAAGTACATAGAGAATTTGTTCAATAGTTAAGAAGCTATTTATATGAAAAAAAGTTGATTCACTTACCAGACTGGTAGCTGCGGTGCATGGGGTTCTGGCTGAAAAGCAAGTAGGTCTGGAAGACAGCTTGTGGAGCGGCTTGGAACCATGCTTGCAGGAAGAAGTACAGTTCAATGGCTGCAGGTGCTGCAGCTAAGTTTAATGTCTTGAGTCTTGCATCTCCAGTTAACTTTATGGCATCTATGGAGAGTACAATCAGTCCTGCGTATCTGTAAGAACATAAGATTTTTACCTAGAAACATTCATTGCTATATAGATCTATTTGTGTCTTCCAGACACTTGTGTCAATTGACTTGTCATGCTATGTGATACCTGTACAACGCAAAAAACACAAATCCTATGAGGTGACACACTTGGAGGCCGAACCAGCCGAGAATGCCTTTGGACACTTTGTCATCATCTGTCATCCACCAATCTGGTCTTGAAACTGTCAGCATAAAATATGAGAGTGCTGGGGCATATATAATTGTAAGGGTGCAGGATCCCCATATTGGATTGTTATCCTTGAAGTGTTCAATAGCTACCACCAGGTCGGAAGAGAAGTGTACTATGTATATCAAACAGCTGATCACCGCTGGCACAAGAAAAATCAAGTATATCTGCTCAGTTGACTTCAGCGGAACTTTCATACAACGCATGGATTTCCTGTGGCAGAGTGTATTCAAGTCTTGTGCCATCTTTCAACAATTAACAAGTCAGTTTCATTTTTCTGTCCAGGCAGCATGTGTGATGATGGTTGTTTTCCTAATGAGAAAAATATAATCAATGTTGAGAGAATGCAGGATGACATGGAAAAGGAATTTGTTTAGATATATAAGTAAAAAATTCAGACAAAATTGTTTTTGTTTGAACAAAATATAGAATATTTTGAGTAGAACTTTTCTAACACAAAACAAAACTTATCGTGACGAGAAAATGCACTTAAACAGAGATGCATATTGATACTTTACCCGTGGAGGTTAACGATCAAATGTGATCTCGAAATTCCAACGTAATTAAGAAAGTCATTTCAATAATGCGTCCGCATTCTCTTATCGAAGAGCCCAATCACCGGTGCTTTTAGATCGCTTGGAAATCCATAGAACATATAAAGTGACAAATGATGCTCGGCTTTCTAGAATTATAGTTTCCTTTATGGTTAAATAATAAGATAGATAAACATGCTATCGTTACTTGATAGATTAGTCAGCCGTGTCGAGCGCAGGCATGATGATATCTTGATAAGCTTCCATTTTATAAGAGAGCGATAAAGCGTTGATACCATGTAGTTATTATTATTATTACACGAATAGGTTATGGATGTCTTATTATATGAGTGCAAATACGCGCAACTGCGCTGCGTGTGTAAAATACACACATGATAAGCACGTTACGGCACTCATGCGAGCGTATTCGTATAGTACTCGTTTTGCTGAGTGTCTAAACGAAAGCATCGGCTGGTGCGCGTACGCGCGCGACAATTCATCTAACCTAATCTAATCCTGCGAGCGACCTAACTTAACCTAACCTCTCTCAACTAATCTATATAATTGGGAGTACTTTAAATCACAAAAAGATTCATATACTGGTCTAAATCGCTACTCAATAAATAAATAAATAAATAAATAAATATATATATATACATTGTCAAAATGCAAAAAATATCAACTAAATGGGGAGGATATTTCGGGTTGAGTTTTAAGGCTTCTGTTTCCACTACTGTGGAACTTTGAAGATGGAAGTGAAAAGATACATGCTATCTTCAAATATAAAAATGTTTTATGAAAGAACACTTGAGATCGCTTTGAGTATACTTGTGAAATTTTTCTTTTCCCTTGATGCAATAAATAACTAAAATTAACAAAGTCGTAAGAAAAGGTAAGATTTAAAATTGCACGTCACGTTAATTTTAAGGCTATTCCTTGACTATCAAGAAAAATGTGATTTCGTCGGGAAGTATTTTTCCTCTAAAGAACATCTATATACAGAATTGGTTTTTTCTTTTATTGACAAAGTAGCACTTTATTCATATGAAAAAGTAATACAACATTAGGACCTGTGCTTAAACTTTTTCTTTTCAGAATCATTCGAAGCGTATGTATTGAGATAATTAGAAGGCCTTTGGACACTGTACGCATGTCTCTCTACCTAAATATTCTTTTAGATTGCGCTCTATAGAAAGATGGGCGTTACTATTCGTAATACTTCTTGAAATTATCTGTGTGCATGTGTGTTCCTATCCAATTTGAGATTATTCACAGTTCCCCATGCAAAATAATACAATCTACTTAAATTCTATAATTTGTAAAATATATCGCTAGCTCTGTGATTAGTGTAGCGATCGATGCTCCTCATCAAATATACTTAAGTCGCCATTCGATATATTTCATTGTTAGTTTGATGTAAATTTTTGAAGCGTAGCTTCGAGAAGCCTACATTGTTTTTTTATTTACGAATGTTGATTCTCATAAGCATTCAATTCATCTTACTGATCTTGTTGAACGTACGTGCCTTCGACTTCGAATATTTCAAACGAGAGATATTGTTAAACTTACGGTTAATTCTAAGTATATTACTATACTAATATGTAACATAAGAGGAAGGAAAAGTAGTTTTTTCTTCTATTCAGCACTTATAAAGTGTTTCATCATTTCAAAGAATATTTAATAGTACACACGTGGTGACTGTCATGTCACTAATAAATCAATTAGATCAGCAAAAGAGAAAGAAGTTGTAAATTCATGTATCTAAAAGTACAACGAGCGAAAAATTGAAGAAGATACCGGATATGCGGGGTCTGAATTAAACCCATTGTACATGGTGCACGTAAAAGCGCATCGAATGCGTGCGTATGTGCTATTTCAAGTATATAAACGTATAATTAAAAGGCGAAAGAACGCAGTTTCTCTTCGACTCCCGTTTACCAGAGCTCGCTTTCCTTCTCTTTAGCCGGTACCTCGATCACTCGCGGTTTGTCAATTATTCTTGCTGTGCGATTGCCCTTTTCGACGATACCGATGATCCACGCTTGATATCCTTCTTGCTTTTCGATATCCTTGCAATATGCTGCAGCCTGTAAAATAAAATGCGTTTAGTACAACAAATCAAGACACAAAGGAGATACTCGCAAAGCACAAAGTACTAAAAATATTTCAACTTATATTTCGATCGGAAAAATGTTACTCTTATCCGTATCGATATATACTGAGATGCTTTATTAAAAAAAAGGTTTATTTAATAAAAAAAAAAAAAAAGGTTTGGTGTGTGCGAATATTTTTCGAGTTATCGTGTGATTGTACGAGGTCAGTCTTAGCTAAATATTAATAATCAGCCGTATTGCAAAAACCTCAGTTTTTCTACCTGCCGTTCTTTAGAACATCTCAGAGGGAAGATAAGATGCTCTACTGTATTAGCAGGAAAGCCGGTTTAATAATGAAAATATGATTCGATAAGCTGCTCACTGACCTGTTCCCGAGGAAGACAGATGAGCAAACCGCCGCTAGTTTCGGCAGAGTGGCCTTGCAACAACTGGAACATGTTACCACAGGCCTTCGCCACTGCCGCCATTTTTGCGATAACAGGTAGATTGTGAATAACGAAAGAGACTTCATTTTTCTGATGTTTGGCTAAATTTTGAGCATGACCGAGAAGACCGAAACCAGTAACGTCTGTGGCGCCATGCGCATTATATTTGTGCATCAGTCTAGCCGCTGAAAAATACATAACACGCCGTCATAATCGCATGTTAATTTTTCTTTTCTATTATATATTACACGGAGAGTGACTTCTGCGCAGAAATATCACGTACCTATCCTATTCAACCTGGCCATACTATCCATCGCACGTTGGTAAGCCTTCCGGACATCATCTTCACTGACCACTAGCTTAATTCGGTTCCAACGATCCGGCTGGTCGAGCCATTGATGTGCGTTAACGGCAACTTGCGTCCCGAGGGGTTTTGTCAAAACTAACACGTCGCCCACAACAGCATTATCCGGACTAAACAGAAGAATGTAAGCGATAAAGGTGTTTCTTTTAAGTTGAATCTAAGGGAGAATTCACACATTTAATTAGGAGAAAAGTAGAAACTATCAACTACCACCTGATTACAGCTTCTGCCTTTTTGTTTTCTGCCAAGGTGTGAATTCTCTTCAAAAAAGTCAGTCATTATACTCAAGAAGAATTCAAGGAGGCTCTAGCAAAAGCCTTTCACATTTGTAGTCAATAAAATTCAATAGTAACAAGTGCGTGAATGATTGTGGAATGTAAAGTTCACGAATAAACTGATCACGTTGACAAAAATTGTAAGTGAATAGAGAACATAATAAATTTTCGGCACGTACACGATGTATTCATTGGGTTGGCAGACTGTGGTAGCCACCCCACCTATGGTACACCATGGATTAACGACTGTCTGCCCACCAGTTACTGTGGTACCTGCTTCCATTGCAGAATCCTTGAATCCCCTCATTATCAATGGCACGACAACATCACGCTCCTTTTCAGTCATTTTAGTACTAACACCAAGTAGCATCAGCATGTTGTCGCAATCCGTAACACCCATTGCATAGAGATCACTGATAACGTTAGCACAGGCGATTTTACCTGAAAAGATCCTCGAATGGCAATGAAAAGAAATAGCATTCTCTCAATACATTACAGACCCAAATCCTCGCTCCTCCCCATGTGACATTCCACACGCTTCTCAACGCGCATTATTTCTCTTACCCATCATATAAGGATCATCAACCAGTGGATAGAAGAAATCAGTTGTCTGCACCAGACTCAATCCGCCATGTCTTAGTGGTGTTACGGAGGAATCCATACCAATGCCTAGAACATTAAGTTTCTCTTTAATTTATTGCAAAATAAACTGTTAATTTGATGAATAACTAATAACTTGATAAGAAATATCCCCCAAATATATTCCAAACATTTTTGGTTCTTATAAATAGCCCTTAATTGAAATTTCTCATGTGAAACATTCAAATCTGATATTGATCTGAATTTTAAGTTGACATTATATTTGTAATTGCAAAATTTGACTGAAAAATTCACATCTAACTACAAATTCAAATCTGAATATCTCATATGAGACAAGTAACAACTATCAATACAGATCTTTGAACTTTGTTAGAAAAGGAACATTTAGAGTAGTAATAATTTGTTAAAATTGATTACACAGATATTATTTATCGATAAACGATAGACTTCTGTGTCAAGTATTTGTCATGTGTTTATATTACCGAATATAATAAAATATAGAATTTCAAATTTATTGTTCCGAATTTTCAAGGGATTGTTCAGACAATGAAGACTTTCAGATTGAGAACACCCTGCTTCCTTTCCGGAAGCGTGGGAGAAATTGGGCGGGAGACCACACGGCCGCCATGACGGCAGGGCTGTTTTGCGATCATTCGGGCCCCGCGCAAATGAGGGGGGAAAAAAGAAACTCGTGTCGTCTCAATTGTTTCGTGTTTGACGTGGCAACCTCCAAGAGATCACAAAAGCATGAATTCGCACGTATTGATGTTGACTTTACATTGTTGTTGTCTCGACAATGTAAAGTCCAAAAATAATCTCGTCGATATATTGCAAAAAATGAGTTTTTTGTTAAAATAATATAAGAAGAGACAGAAAAAGAACGGCGGAGGAAATACACGCGGCGTCGAAGATGTCGGCTCCCTCTTTCTTTCTTCCCTTGCACGTGCAATGTCGCATATTTCACTCACCTATGCGCGGTATTGCCAAATGCATGAAGTGGGCATGCTCATGATCTTGTGTAGCCCCGTCGTCGGCCTGAAGTCCCTCTAGGAGTTTCCCAAGAACCTCCTGAGGGACCTTGCACCCTCATCCTTTCAGGTCGGCGAAACGGGTAAGTCTGAAGGTACCATCGAGACCATGCGCCACTGGATCAAATGGCCTACGCAGCGCCAAGGCATTTGGATTTCCGCCGAGTTCAAGCTGAGCGACGGACAGGGCGTCTTGTGCCACTGGATTGCCCTGCAGCTCCGCCATCTTGCCTAGAAGAGTTGCACTGTTACTTTTCCGCTGGTCCACGCAACACGATACGACGCCCGTTCGACTCTTGCTCTGAGATTCCTATTTCTCGCGCACGTTCTCGCCACCCGGTGTGCCTGCTCTCTCACACCTGGTGTCCGGCCACACGAGTCCTCACACTACCAGATTTCAGGGTACCGCAACGCCGCCGAAAGACAGCCACTGGATTTGCGCGAACTCGCAACAAATTGGAATTATACTGGGCCGCACCGGCGTCGACTAACCGGGACCATATGCGTTGACAAAATGGACGCCCTACCGGCAGTATCAGCCGAAGCAAGTTGCGAGGGCGCGAGCGAGCCCCCACGATGCCATCACCGTGTCGGCCGACGGCGCTGATTGGCTCTTTCGAACGCGCGCACGCGTACTTCGCAGCGCCACTGAGCCGTGCCTCAGGAGCGTACCACGTCGCTTGCCGACCATCG